AAAAAAAATATATATATAATAGCCTCCATAGGACTTTCTTAAAAAAACTAGAGATTTGGCTAAACTACTTTCCTTACCCTTAATTAGCTCTGAAAGCCACTACCAAGAGAGTTAATTCTCTTCCTTCTTCAGCCATTTATTTCTACCCATTTTCTTTTGCTGGGTCAAGCATTCATGCGGTAAACCAGATCAGAAAGTTCATTAGACATAAAAATAACCTAACATAAGAAGTCAGAGTAGTGATCCAGTTTGTCATGTCACTAAACGGAATAGAAAGAGGATGGTGGGGGAGGAGGTAGAGAGGGTAGGGAACCTGTACTTTCGATGGCAATCTGCATTTTAGCAGACCAAGCATGCCACAAAACTGCACCCCAGCAAACTACTAGGAGACATTTAGTATTAGATACAACACATCTGACTTAGTCTGATAGTTCCTGCAGGTTAGGTGAGGATAGAGCCTTTTAACTCCTCGATTTTTTTTTTTTTATACATTCAGCTCACGTTTTTGCAAATCCAAAAGCTGAGTTAGCAAGTTCATTGAAAAATCTACTCTTCTTACGCATTTGGCTGTTAACAGCACACCACACCCTTTCAGAGGTCCACAGATTTCCCCAGCACCAGTCTTCAGTGAGAATCCCCAACACTGCTTGTATTTCTGCCTTTTTCATTTCAAGCAAGCTGTTTTCAAAGAGGCTTGGCGAACTGCAGAGCAGAGGAAATTACTCCAAGGATGACAAACTCCACATTCAGACAGCTTTAACAGATTTTTGCTTCTGCGGATATGTTCATACTAATAGCTTAAATGGTCTAAAATGGGTTTGCACCTACTTGACTTGAAATGAAAAAGCAGTTTTACAGGGGGCTACCACAACTGTCTAGGTAAAATACTCATCTAGGTTATGCGCTCAGTTATTTATAAAGAAATAGCAGGATTTCAAATACTATTCAAAATGAAAAAAATAAAATAAAATAAATCTGACATTCAGATGCATTTAGGCATCAGATAATCGTATTTTCGGGTCCTCACAGCGGAGTCCCACACGGGAAAGCAGCGGACACCAGGGACGAAGAACTGCTTTTGTGCCTCCACGTATTGCTAACCCACGCAATCGCGAGGCAAACCTCAGAGTATTTCAGCATCTCATCGTTATTAGGTTAAAAGGCTTCCTCTGCATTTCGGGCCGCCCTGGCTGCCCC